AATCCAGACTTTAAATAACCCAAGTACTTTTAGAGGATAATGAAAGTACTTCTAAATAGGCATGTCTTAATTTTCTCCCTTTCCCTTATCAGTTGTATGATTGCTGAGTTTGTCATAATAATGTAGTGTGAATAAAATGGTCAGTCATTTCTTTTCAACTATTACCCAAATTGAAAATATACTTTTGTCAATTAATTCCTGTATATTTTAAAAGTCATCGGAGTTGATATTCTGAATTTATCAACTAATATATCCCCCTTTAAAAAAACTAAAAAAAATGTAGTGACCTGTAGAAATTATTGATACCAAATAATAAAGCTTTGTAAGTTGCATGTTGTTTTGTAAATATATTAGGGCCTCCATCATTTGCACTTCATTTATCCAGTTTGATTTCCTCAGGCTAAATACCTTACATACTATTTCGTTAATCTCTTGACTATAGTGTAAGTGAGTGAATGAGTGAATGAGTGTAGACAGATAGACAAGGAATGGAGGGAGGGGGTGACAAGTGTGTATTGCATATGCACATATACGTGCACACTTACGCACATTCACTCACACTCACACTCACTCTACATGTGTACATATATTTACGTTAATGTTATGTAATTGTGTATGATTTTTAAGTGCAGAGAAGTTGTCATTTTCACTAACTGATACTGACATGCCTGATGAATTTTATTTTAATCATTATCATCATTTATGTATGTAAGCATGTGGCAGTGTCCATGTTATTTGTGTTTGTGTGTGTTTCTGTGAGAGAAAGAGTGAGGGATTGTGATGTTGAATTCTTCCTTTGAGTGTATTTTATAGAATACAATGAAACAAATCTGAACTGAAACTGTATTGCATGTACATTTAAAAGCGAGTCTTTATGGAAAGTGATTGCATCTGGTAGAAGTGGACATGTAAACTGGAGACATGTCATGAGTCAAACAGATCAGATTCGTTACTGTGTATTTTTCATTTAACTATGGTTACAATTTTCAGATAATTTTTCTGTAGAAGTTTTTTTTTTTTTTGTTAGCCTTGAAAATTAACACAATGAAATATACTGCATATTTTCATAGGCTCTTAGGTAAGAATAGTCTGTTAGCATCTCATTCAGTTCTGGGCAAAAATTTATCAGAATTGCATGGAAAGAATATATATGAGAAATAATTCTATCTGAAAAAAGCATAATACCCTGTCCCAGCATAATATTTATAAATGTTACTATTTTGGCATACATAAGTAGCCATTATATATAGTACTTTTATGAATAGCCCCTTTAATTATCTTCATGTAATTTCAAAATATGCTATAAGTGCTATAAGCACCTTATGGTAATATGAAAGTGTTTGCAATAGGCAGACACAAGAAACAGTCAATTTTTTTTTACTTTTCACACTTCTGTTGGTGTTGTTTATAACGTCTTGGAAACTTTTTTTTTCTAAAACCTTACCGGAAACAATTAATGGTTTTACTATTTTGTCTTCCAAAATTTACTGCAATGACCATGTTAAAAAAAAAATATTTGTCAAATATACCAAGAAACTTCTTTTAAATTGTAGCTATACTTTTGGGTGCATGGTTAACAGAGCTGAAATATGTAAAAAGAAGTTGTATCTAATAATTATTAAAGACGTTTGTCACCAAATTTGTCTTTGGAAAACACCTCTGTGTACTCACTGATATTTGGCACCAACTTGATATGCCCAGTTTTATGAGTTGTAAGGGTTTTCCTATGATTATTAGAGTAATGTGTAGTGAATGTGATTCAGTAATTCTGACTTGTTTCTATCAAGTGGAGTGGGAGGGGAAGAATAGGGAAATTCTTTCTGGGAGGTCTAAAGAAACTTACCTCTATCTGAATTTTATGCTAATCTGTTGCCCTATAGATCTAGAATTTTTATAGATATAAAATAATTGAAATTTGGACAATGGTTTAAAGGATAAATGTAGAGAAGCTGATGATATTGTTTTCCAAACAAAAGGGCGGACATTAGCAATGAACTTGAACAATTAACCCATTGCCGCCTGGGAAAATGAACAAAAAACGGGGGAAATGCAGTAGTCATTTTTTATATTTTTGTGAAATATCTCTGTCCATAGATGGCTCTGCTACTCCTGATTTCACCTTCCCTTGAATTGGCGGGAAAAAACGTATTTTTACTAGTGCTCTAAATATAGATGGTGTTAATTTTAACAGCAAATTAGGATAACGTTAAATATTTTCGTAAATCGATGAAAAGGGTGAACGGGCGAGACAGGCAGTACTCGCAATTGGCTCATTGGATACTTAGTACAGGTGTAGCCATCTATGTGTAAAAACAATCGAACAAATCAACTCACAGTGGGCATGGCATGTACGTACATGCCATCCCCGGCGGCAATGGGTTAAGTGGTGTAGCTACAAGTGCACTTTTTAATTTCAGTCGCAAATTCCAGTTGCATCTACTTATACATGACTGTTTCCAGAAACAGGAAATATATCCATTTCTAGATTTGATCCTTTACT